AAATATTTTTTTCTTTTTTTCGGCATTTCTTTTAATTTAAAAAGTAAAATCTGGTAATGATCATGATATTACAAGAAACATTTCTTTGCTAAAGTTTGCTTCTAAATTACACAGTGAAATTATGTGTGTCCGATTTTCCGGTCATTATTTCCTTAGAGTTGTGACTGTGGATTCACAGGTGTGCGATTACGCAAATTTATTGCCCTCCGATCACCTGAATTTTGCCGGAGGTGAAGTTCTAAGTGGATTGTTACTTGGTAATTGTTTTTACAACTAAACAAATTCTGACATTATTTTAACCATGACCAGAACTTTATTTTAACAGAAACACTGGGCTATACTATGAATAGGGTAAACGGACAGAAAGTCACAGGACATAAAGTCACAAATTGGATAGGACAAAAAGTCACAAATAATGTATTGACAATTGTTTGATTATATAAGAGAAAGATCTTCAAATAATATATTTTTTTACATTTATTCATTTTTAAGTTCAGGAAATTGTTCATAAGCCTTGATAAATGAAAAATTATTAAATTTTAATCATGCAAATAATATATTTCTTGGCACCATGAAGCCATTTAAGTGCCAAACCACTTTGACATTTTGTTATCATAACAATTATTTGATCATCATTGATATTTATTGAATAAATTTTTAATTACAAAGTTGCTTCATATATTATAGTTCAATAAAAAATCAAAAAATTATTTTTAAAATTAGTGTTTTCTTGTTCAGAGAAAAATAATCTCAAAACTGAATTGTGACTTTTCGTCTGTGACTTTTTGTCCTGTGACTTACTGTCCTACATTCTACTATAGTATTCAATCAGGAACAAAAATAGTCATTTAACATGTAAAAAAAAAAAAGAAATCAGAAAGAAACTTTTGTATATAAAAAAAATATGTAGCCAGTAGAATTTTGTCTCGTGGAAAACGGATTTAAATGATTACTTTTTGATTGACCTACAATTACATTATTTGTGGAACCTTTGCATGAATTTCCTAAATGAACGTACATTATGTACAGTGTTGTCGAAATCACTATTTTTGCTGTCATGAAATATTGAATATGAATCTGTCATTATTTGTAGTTTTTTATAGACTTAATATCACAGACCCTGATTAAAAACAACGTGTATCATAAGTGCAGTAAAATGCTCTGCTGAACTGTAGAATTTTAATGTTCTGTTTCATAGACCACAGAAGTACTGCAACATCCTTATCTTTACTCTTTCCTATCGGGTAGTGAAACTCGAGTTTGAAATTAGAAAGATTTAAAATTGAAGACAAGTTTTATCTGATCTTTTGTGGGTTTATGTTTCGGTGCAGTGCTATGTGGGCTGTTATTTTCTTTTCATTTGTCATTTTTTTTATCTGTGTTACACGACCTTGTACTTTTTGTATTGCCCCTTGACATCTCCTGCTTCTGTTTAAACCTTTACCACTAATATCTCATCTGGTTTAAATAAAATAGTGTCTCATTCCCGGAATTTGTTATACAGGAATTCATTGCAATATCAGTTTTTTTATAAGCATATAAACTGCTTGGTCTCTTCACACAATTTATGTTTAGGACGAAATGCATCAATAGGTACATACATGTACCAGGTCACCAATATATAAGTACACGTTATATGCTTTTGACCTCCACAAGAATTCTTAAACATTCATAGATGTGCAAAGAATATTTTTGTCGTTGGGTTGTTGTCTCATTGACATATACCTCACATTTCTGAATAGTCATAGCAGCTGTGCCTTTTCAATTTATTGCAGAAAATATTTGCATTAACATTTTTCAAAATAGGCGAGGTGAAACAGTGATCACAGAATGAGGACATGTAAAACTGAAACAACACAACACAACAGATAAATATAAACAAGCACCATTGCTAAAGGACTGAAACAAACATAGATGATGACTAATATGAGCGACTAGTAGTGTACAAGTAGAGTAAACATTTCTTGCTTCTTATTCTACACATTTTGTCATTTCATGTAAACAATTAAATATGTTATTTTCCGAGGAGAGGAAGGAATTTGTGAAACGAAATATTTTGCCTTTAGTACTGTCAAGTTATATATTCACAGGAGTGTTGTTGAATAAATGAACATTTTCCCTTTTTTACATTATGCTACCTTTATGCTACAAAGGTAGCATTTCCATTCTCATGATATACAAAGATATTATAGAGTGGCCTTCCAATGATAGTCATACATGTAAATCATTGTCTCATTGGCAATCATACTACATCATCATATTGTTATACATGTATGTAAAAATTATGTACATGTATACTTTGTAAACGTAAAGAAGACAAATGAAGTTGAACACAAGATATTTATTTTCATTTTTATCCGTATAGTCTCTGCACAACTGCCACTTCTGTTTCAAATTCAATAGATTGAATGCAGAGTCTTGTATTTATTCTTAGTTCAATGATGTCACCATCACTTGCACAAAAATCGCATACACATGTACATCAAGTTTGGCATATGAACTATGATATTTGAACTACAATAATGTGGTGTTTTCACAGTCAGGATAAGCACATGTCATTTTCTCTCTTACAAAACCATTTTTTAGTATCACATTGATAGTAGTACATGTAATCGGTCCACTACATGACTGTGCAGTAACATTTGAAAAAAGTCATCACTAATAGTTGTTCTTGTCTGCCAGGGAATCTTTTTTTTTCAATCAGAAAGGCTAGGGAGTCCTACATTCAGCACATGTATGATATTACATCTCTTGTATGCTGCACTGTTAGGTAAATTTGATCAACATCTTTGTTCTTTTATAACATGCAGGATCCTGTTAAAAAAAAAATGCTGTCAGATACTGAATGTAAATATACATGTATATAAACTTGTAAATGTCATCAAAGTGGTGGAAATAATGAAAAAAACAATTTATATACACAAAACCGGTATGACTTAGGAAAGTAATTCCTGTGATCAATGGTGATGGGTACATTTGTTCTTTAAAGATGGACAATTTTATAAACTGTAGCCATGGACAGGTGCCTGTCTTTATATTGAAGAGAATGAAAATGGCTGACAGCTTGAATGGTAATTTTTAATTGTAAATTGCATCAAAGCTGGTGAAAATATGGAAAAAACAACTGTTATACACAAATCCAGTATGTCATAAGAAAGTAATTCATGTGCTGGGAATAATTATTCTCTAAAGATGGAAAAGTTTATTGACTGTAGACATGGACAGGGAACTGTCTTTATATTGAAGAGAATGAAAATGGCCGACAGCTTGAATGGTCATTTTTAATTGTAAATTGCATCAAAGCTGGTGAAAATATGGAAAAAACAACTGTTATATACAAATCCAGTATGTCATAAGAAAGTAATTCATGTGCTGGGAATAATTATTCTCTAAAGATGGAAAAGTTTATTGACTGTAGACATGGACAGGGGCCTGTCTTTATATTTTAAAAATTGAACGTGGCCGACAGCGAGAATACTGAATTTTAATTGTAAATTGCATCAAAGTGGGTGATTTAATGAAAAATTCAACATATTTACACAAAACCAGTATATCTTGGGAAAAGTGATTCATCTCATAAATGGTTTTATTCCTTTTCGAATGAAAAGGTTTTAATAAAAAATACGTCCGTGTAAAAAATTTTCATAACGTCCAGTCGGCCAAGCTTTCCCCTTATTATTGACCACAATAAAACGTTAATCGTCACAATATTTTAACTAACAATTACTACAAACTGAATAAAACAAGGTAAATAATTTACGAAATTGAAATATATACTTACATTATGCTGTTTTGAAAAGCTTGATGTAAAATAAAAATCGAAGCGGTGGTGAACTTGTCATGATCAGATGCAAAATGGCGATCTCGTTAAAGTCTCGTGTGACGCGTGTTTTTAATTGGATTTCGCTGACCACTGTTACAGTTGCCAATCTCTGTGTATATATGTCTCTGGTATGGCATTGTAATTGACTTTTAATATGAATACAGAATGCAACTAATCGTCGGACCTGTCGGCCCGAGGGGGCAGAAATTGAGCTTTGCCTTGTTGAAAATTTATTAATGAAAGTTAGTTAGTATGTTTGCTGTAGATCATATGATTCAAATATCAATGCTTTGTAGGTCAACTTTCGCGGTAAAAAATGGGGATACATGAGATTGGGGAGAGAAACGGCAGTTTTCATTCTTTCTGTAACCGAACTGTATTGCGAATCTTCTTCCAATAAAGGAGCATCTCAATTTAAGAGTAATTATCCACCAAAATAAAAGTTAATGTATCTGAACACTTAAAATGTGACATTTATTATGTGAAAAGTAGTCTTCCATTAAAACCAAATTTTGTTTACCAACATAAAGGTAAAAAAATAATAAAATTTTCAAATGTTGCTTTTTGAAGTTTAAACATATTTATTCATGCAATTTACAAATATATCAAAATATACAAGGATAACAAAAAGTAAGATCTGGAAACAAGCTGCACACAGCTTATATCAATCTGATTGATTTTTTGTAAGTACATGTAAGCCTGTGATGAGAGTTGTAACTGGGAACTTTAAAGAGGGAAATTTAAAACTGAATTGACTTTTCAGTCCTCACTTTCCTGAGAAAGTTGTAATCAATTAAAAATCTTAGAGAACTGTCAAAAAAAATGGAGAATGGCCCTAGCCTGCAGTTCAGTGTTACACAATAAATAAAATTAAAAATATATTGTAGTAACTATTAAATAAAAGAACTCAATTGAATTTTAGATATTTTCTAAAAACAATCCACTAAAGCAGCTGTCACTGTAAAGACATCCTATCTTCGTTCTCTTACTGTATAAAAAGCTGATATAAAAAATGTAGGTCTGGCAAAAAATTGATGGGTCTGACAAAACTTGCTACCCTGTAGGCCCCAATGTCTGACAGAAAAAAAAAACTGTTTGCATCTCTGTGAATAAATTGGCAACAATGAGAAATAGTAAGGAATTGTAACCTACTTTTCAAAATCATCATATATCTTACCATGCGTAAGCCTATCTGTGTTTCACTTGCTGATGGTACAAAAATACCTTCCTCGTCTGGAAATGGGAAGGTACCAATGTCATGGACCTGAACTCGCGCCCCGAACCCTTCACTGATCTGTTTGAGATATTCATTTCTGTCCATGTATAGAATTAACGAAAGTCCTACAATATATATATTTATTTTTCAATATTTTGGTTTTGAAATGTGAAATATATATTTGTTGAAGGAAATAATTTACAAATGTAATAACATGAGACCCATGATAAATTTTAGTGAAATTTAACACTCAAAACTTTCTGTATTTTCTTTTTGTTTACCAGGAACATGGTTTTATTACAACACATCTCTTTCAAATACATTGCCCTGTGATTTAAAGTTTTAACTTTTGAATGTGATAAAAATTATAATATAAAATTCTGGATTTTTTAAATTGTATTCAGTAGATGCAACAATAAACAAACTTAAATAGTTTACCATTTGATGGTCCTGCTTTAGTAATCTTCATATCTCCTGTTTGAAGTGTGAAACAATTCCCATAAATGTGATGCGGTAGTACCGTGAAGTTACTGTCATAAAGTGTCATAAAGAAATTTATAATTTGCAGATAGAAATATAAAACATTCACTCTTTTCAAGATTAAGAACTTAAATAACTGGGCGCTCTAAACGGAACTGGTGTACACAAGGATATTATGTATTGAAGATTATGGATTATTGAAATCCAGTTAGTGGTTTAGGAGTTTTGTGGATACAAATAAGACAATACAAAGAGGTAGTTTAAAAAATTCACAAACTGAAGAACAGTGACAATATCATGGTAAAATAGAGCAGAAAATGAAATCAACATTCAAAACAACATTTTTTTAAAAGATCAAACATTTCAGCACATGACCCGTAGCAAAACATTAGGGGAAAACTCATCTGATGTCTTTACACTAAATCCATTGGCATTTCGATGCCTTTTATAGCTTCTATGCGGTATGGGTTACACGCATTGTTGAAAGCCTTACGGTTCTTTGTCCTTTGGTATTTGTTGAAGAGTTATCTCATTGGCAATCACACCACATATTATTTTTATACGCCCGTTGTCGGGACGTATTATGGTTAACCGTTATCCGTCTGTCCCTCCGTCGTCAACATGTCGGACAATAACTCGAAAACGCTTTAAGCAATTTTCCTGAAAATTTGGTGACTGGCTTATATTTTTTAAAATAAGCTCGAAATTATAGATTGGCTAGTTGATAGATATGAAATGTCATTATCATTATAATAAAAAAAACATTGATGAAAACATAATTCAGGAATTTTTGTTGCTATATATCCCCATATTTGTTTTTCGTTTATTGTGTTGTACATATATTTAGTTAAGTCTTCTCATTTTAATTGTTTTGCATTTGTCATGTCGGGCGGCCTTTAATAGCTTGCTATGCGGTATGAGATTTGCTCCTTATTGAAGGCCGTACGGTGACCTGTCTCAAATGCAACTATACCATACCACATCTTTGTTTTTTTATATCATGTGCTCTTGAAAGGTTAACAAATGAAAATGGGGTGACTAATCTCTTCTTTAGATATTGCAAACCCGTTAAAATTTTGCTACCAGGATTGATTGATTGATTGTTGGTTGCTACCAGGGACCTCAAGCATTATTTGGAACAAATAAAAGGAATAGGAGTTACAAAATGACAACAAATACAGGTACTAAGATTTTATAATTTTTTTTATTGAACTCTAATCATCGCTTTTGGAGAAATTGAAAATGCAATTTACGAAAGGAGAACGGACGGAAATATCATAAACATCATAGTCGTATTAACAACTATTTATTCACAGATAAGCCACACACCAATCATGTTTTCCCAGACTTTAATTTCAATCAGTATACATGCAATAGATTTGTTGTAATGATGTAATAAACAGTATGAGAAAAGCATGGCCTTATTCGGTGCAACGATATAAGTATCAACAGGATGCAGGCTAAAAAGGGTTCGTGTGTTTTTATTATATTTTGTTATATTGCTTATTTATTTTTAGTTCACCTCTTGTTATCTTTTTAGTTTTCCTCCAAGCTGTGAAAAATTCAATAAGTATCACACTTAATTTCACTCACGAGAAATAATTTAATTTGTATAAATATATGCGGAATGGGTACGACTCTTGTTGTAAATTAAACCCAAGGGAGAATATCACGTACACGCACTCTACACGTAATAGAACTGGGACCTTAAGGTAAACACATTGATAGATAATATTACTGATCATAACGAATTCATAGAATGTCTAAATACATATACTAACGTAGATACAGGATAAATAATAAGGGTAAGTCTCACCTTGCAAAACATTTAAATTTTCCAACAGTACATGATATCAGCATGTCTTCTATTTGATGTCCCAGTTCTATTTTGGTTTCCCTGTAAAGGAAATTTTAATATATTACTAAGAATTCAAATCAAGTCCTTGAATTTGTGACTGATGACTGTAATCGGACATGACGAAATATGCTTAAAACCATCGTTATACTTATGCTAAGTCATCTTGTAAACTAGATTCTACTGCATGAATCGGTTTAAAAAAAAAATATGAATAATTTTTTAAAAATCATAAGTTTTTTTTCTAAGTTTTTTTTAAATGATTAAGATGAATTATAAACGATGTTGGGTATGATTAATAAGGACAGAGGTACCAAGTTGATTAATCTTTTATATTTAAATGCATCAAGTTAAAATAATTAAATTACAAGGTAGAAAATTCGGGTGATTATAGATGAACTTCTGATTACAGAACTTATTCTTTTCACAAGTAATTATAATTGCTCCTGCTATCTTCTCTCTCCTTTTTCAACACCGTAGATTTATTACAGCCCTCCATTAGTAAAACAAAGATTTAGCTCACTTGCAAGAACGTAGGATTATATATCCATGGATCTCGGGATCGATCCCCATGTGGTCAATTTAGTACCGAAACATTAACGGTCTTTTGTCACATTTTGGCTCTCTAACTGAAAATACCTTCTGTGGTTAAACAGATTAATTGGAATTAGGTAGGTCGTGATGGTCATCATCGCCATTAAGGTATCATATTCTTGATGTAGAGGGAGTATAACGGTTTTTCACTTGACCTAGCTACGACATAGAAACCACTCTACCACATAAGCTTGTATTGGATGAGACCAACTGTCGTTGCGTTTTAACTTGGTGGTGGGTACGCCAGGCAGTGTTGATATCCTTTATACCAGTATCCTGAACAATTGATTATAGGCGAAATTATACTGGTTTCTGCACCGATTATATTCACTGTAAATTATTCCTGCACATGCACACAGTTGCTTACAGTAACAGTTGCTAATCCCTGCTACACTACAAAAGTAGTGGTACTCCAGATAGTGGAGGAAAGAATAAAGAAGAAAAAGCGGCATGTGAAAACTCATTTAGATTAGTTGATGTATCGGTCATATGCTTACTGAGCCAGGAACCCGCTGGTAAAGTAAAACAGTTGTTTTGTTTTAATTTATTTTAGTATAACTTCATTTTTTCTGTTTTTCTATTTTGTTTGTTCGGGTAATCAGTAACTCTCTTTTCAAATGTACGGGGGAATTAACTTCTGATTTCTGTGTTAGGTGTATTTTGGTTCTTTTAAAGTTTTGTTTTTTTGTTTTAATCGATTTTGGTGTTGCTTCTTATTATTCTACTATTAATTCTAGTTGGTCAGAAGTATTTACAGCTTATAAAGGGATCACTTTTAAAGTCGACATCAGAAGAAAATCATATGTCATCTGGATGTTGTTCTAGGTGTTCAATTTGCTACATCATTCTAGTCCCAAAAATATCATCAATTCAACATACTCTAAATGGGATTTGACACGGAAGCTAACCTTTTTTCTTTTTTATATAACCTTCTAAACTCTTCTAATTTCCAAATTCTATCGTCTACTATTTCTCCAAAGTCATAATCAATATCATATATGTCATAATGGGCATCAACGTAATCACCGTAGCCAACCTAAAATATAGTAGAATGTAATAAACTGTTGACAGAAAGGTATATCTCGCTTGTATGTCATTATGAAAGAAAAATGCAAATGATGATATAATAAACTGTTGACACAGATATGTCTCGCCTTTTTGAAATTTTGGTAGTATAATGCAAATATTGAATCTAAATGGCAATATTTAAACATGTAAACTATGCAAAACATTCAAAGTCAATTGTAACCATGACTTAATATGCATGACTAAAAAACTTCTATGGAAGAAAAATACCAATGCTTATAAAATTGCATATCAAATACCATTAACTTATCATAAGAGGTGCCATTTTCACTAATCAAAACACACACTTTAACTTGTAAACAATGTAAAAGTTTCAAAGTTAATGAACAAATTATGATGAGGGGATGGGGCCATATAATCTCCATGGAAAAGAGATTTGCAAATGCATACCGAATATCACTGACTTAATATTAGCGATTCCTCTCAAACTTTAATATGTTAACTATGTTAAACATTCAAAGTCAATAGACCATGACTGAGGGGTCGGAGCCAAATAATCTCCATGGAAATGAGATGTGCCAATGCTAATGCATCTACATACCAAATACCGTTGACAAAACCATGGGAAATTTAACATTGACTACTAACCATGAAATGGAGTCAAGGTCTGATGACACCTGATAGACAGACATGTACATCTTACAATCATTTCTTACACCAAAGACAGTTGACATATTGCGTATAGTATCTTAGAAGAGGACCAAACTACTGAAACTTAACATTGACCAATGAACCATGAAAATGATATCAAGGACAGATGATTCCTGCCAGATAGACATGTACACCTAACAACCATTCCATACACCAAACACTAAAGTTAACCTTTCGGAGCACCTGAGATCAACCCAATTTTTTGGTGGAGTTCGTGTTGCTCAGTCTTTGGTTTTCTGTGTTGTGTTTTGTGTACTGTTTGTCTTTTTCAGCCATGACGTTGTCAGTTTATTTTCGACTTATGAGTTTGAATGTCGTTTTGGTATTCTTCGCCTCTCTTTTAAGTTGATATGTTGCTTATAGTATTAGAAAATTCAGACCATACCACAAAAAATCCTAACTTTGACCAATGAACCGTGAAAATAAGGTCAAAATCAGATGAAACCTGCCAGACTGACACGTACACCATACAATTATGTCATACACCACAAATAGTTGACCTACTGCATCTAAGGAATGGACCTTATCACGTAAAACCTGATCACTGATCCATGAAATGAGAGCAAGGTTAGGTGAACCCTGTCTGGTGGACATGTAGACCTTGCAAGGAACGCATGTACCAAAACACCGTTATCCTATAATAACTCCATTTTGCAGTAAGTGAACAATTCACATGACAAAAAAAAAGATTTCAAGCAGTTGCTGAAAAATGAAAATGAGGTCAAGGACACAGACATTTTGCAGGCGTAACATAAGGCATCTGTATACAAGGTATGCAGCCTCCAGGTCTTCCACCCTCTGAAATATAAATCTCAATACAAATAGCTTACGCCAGCCGGATTGTAATCTCTATGTCTCGCATTCTGCAACTTTCGTTGAAAACGATACAAAACTACGTTTTTTACGGAAATTATCACACCATTTTTTAAAGGTACATATGTCTGCCAAAACACTGCACTTTTTTTTTTACATCGTCCGCATATGTAGAAACTACCTGACAGCTGGGTTTACACCATTCGTACTTAAAATTCACAAACTAGTATGTCAACATGCTTTCCTAATAAGTGTAATACATTAAAGAATAATAATAACAAACAATAGCAAGCAACTTATAAGAACCGTTACACATGGTCTAGATAGTCTGAACATCCACTTAACGATTATTGCAGCCATATTGAATAGGGGCAGATTTTTTGGATAGAGGTGGAAATAGTATGAAAGTACGGGAAATCCTATGCATGTTTCCAAGCAACTGTTCTGTTTCAATGATGTTTTCTCGTATTTTTCAAACAATTTTACCTCCGTTATGAAAATCTGCCCCCTATTCAACACTGTTGCAATAACCATGAAAGGGCATATTGCAAGGTATAGTGACGATATGTTGTTGGGTTAAACCAAGTTTCGACAATATAAACCATATCCACGTTGTAAAAGCAAAGTACACAATAAAAAATCTTCACGGTCAAGTTACCAAGATAAATTGATAGATGGCAGGTTACAGTAAATTGTAAAAATAATAAAACTATGTTTTTGAAGTACAAGTAATACTAGGAATCATCTTAATCATTCTTTTGATTATAATGGTGAGAAATTAGAGCAAGTGCAAAAGTTAAACTTTCTTGGTAATATCATTAGTCAGATTGGAAATATTATTCATTTTGCACAAGAATTAGCCGAAACATCTATGAAAGTTATGTATGTTATGTATTCTATAAAAACACATTGCAATTCAATTTTATCCAACACATGTAACTTTGTCAAACCAATTATTTAACTCACTAGTTAGACCACATAAAGTTTCAATAAGAGGATATATGATAACTGAAAAATAGACCAAAGCAAAAAACTTGTAAACCATCAAAATGCGGTCAAGGTCAGATGATATCTGCCATACAGACATATATACCTTTCAATCATTCCATAAACCGAATAAAGTTGACCTATTGCTTATAGTACTTGAAAAACAGTCCAAAACACAAAAACTTAACATTGACCAATGAACCATGAAAATGAGGTCAAGGTCAGATGAAACCTACCAGACTGACATGTGCCCATTACAGTCATTCCATACACCGAATATAGTTGACCTCTTGCTTATAGTACTTCAAAAACAGACCAAAACACAAAAACTGAACATTGACTAATGAACCATGAAAATGAGGTCAAGGTCAGATGAAACATGCCAGACTGACATGTACTCCTTACAATCATTCCATAAACCACATATAGTTGACCTGCTGCTTGTAGTATCTGAGAAACGGACCTAATCACATAACTTTAATCTTGATCACTGATCCATGAATTGAGATCGAGGTCAGGTTAACCCCGTCTGACGGATATGTAGACATTGCAAGGAACACATATACCAAATATAGTTATCCTATTACTCATAATAAGTGAGAAATTCACATGACAAAAAAACTGTAATTTTTTTTCAAGCAGTCACTAAACCATGAAAATGAGGTCAAGGACAATGGGCATATGACAGACGGAAACTTCGTAACATAAGGTATCTGCATACAAGGTATGAAACATCCGGGTCTTCTACCTTCTGAAATATAAAGCTTTATACAAATAGTTTACGCCGCCGCCGGATAGTAATACCTATGTATCGCATACTGCGACTTTCATCGCAGGCGAGACAAAAACCCTCCCTCCCACCTCTTGACTTGAAAATGTGAGTATTTTGGCGATATACTGCTGCTGTTTTGATTTTTTTCCGCCAGGTTTTTAAGGACATATATTAATTCCGTGTACCCAATGTTGTATGATGATTCGTTATGGCTCACCAAGTGTAGAAAGTCCAAGATGACTCAAGAAGAGACTTAATTAGCAATATTCCTTAAAAATTCTTATCGTTATTCTATAATTGAACTTTCTACACATGAACTAATGTACAAAATATTGAAATATTTTGACGCAGAAGCGTTGGATCAATGAAAATTTTCATTCTCTTAAAATTCGACTAATGTTTTGAAGGACCATCTGAAGAAGATTGGCGGGAAAGCGACACAACGCCAACAATCTTACACCATGTTCACATAATGGACTATAATATCCGTCACTGAGCTTCTGTTCCCAGAGCCAGTATTCTTAAAGTCAATGTCAGTATTCATAAATGGACAGTAATGATCGATAAAGTGCTCTTTTTGTACAGATGATTCTAATTAATTGATCATTCTTGATCCATGCTAATGTTATAATTGATCAATCGTGATCCATGCTAAGGTTTTAATTGATCAATCGTGATCCATTCTAATGTTATAACTGATCAACAGTGATCCACTCTAATGTGTTAGTTTTGATCATTTGTGATTCATGATCATGCTAATGTTTCATCTTTATTTATGATAATGTTTGATAAATTTGTGAGCCGTGGCCTTTATTTTGCCAATTGAAATAATAATTCATTTATATCTCTGGTATTTATTCAAGCATGAATCTTAAGTTAAATCTCTATTTTGATTAGCAATTTTTCAAAAAGTCACTTATGATGTTTGATTCATATTTTGAGCTGTTTTCTACAGATACAAGCCATAATTCTCAAATATTAAATTTGATATAAAATGAGTTATGCGCCTGTATGTGAAAGTTTCATCAAATGTTAAAGCCAATGTTTGAATACACAATTGGATAGACCGAGTGGTTACGCACATTGGTTAAGAGAAACAAGTATAATGTGTTATCTAGAATCCAACCCCTTCTTCGCACAATTAATAAGGCATAGATGAAGCTACGCCATGAAAATGGTGCATGTTGTTGGACAGTGTTTTAGTCATCGTTGTTATGGTAACAACTTTTCTATGAAAAGAAGACAAACCTTTATTGTGGTACAATGTATAATTAAATGACAGAGAATTATCTTTAGAAAATAGCGCATAAACAATAAATAATACTTCAACTGATTTGTTTTAACTTACTAGGACTTTTAGTATTTTTGCGAAATATAGATATTTAAAACAAAATATGGCCTTTTTCAACTGATCTTTATGAGGGTGGTAAAGGGTTATTTTCGTGCAACGTGTTTTGCCAATTTTTTCACGTGCAGCCGTGAAAAGGATGCGTTATTCACCGTGTTTCGTGAAATCGGTAAAAAGATCAACGTGCAAGAAATTTTTAATTGTTCGTTCATCGTGAAATGGCAATTTTATTTTGCGTTCTTTATGATTTGTTCTTAACGTTGTGCTGTCCCATGTTGAGCGCTCACAAACATGTTTAACCCCGTCACATTCTGTATGTGCCTGTCCCGAGTCAGGAGCCTGTAGTTTAGTGGTTGTCGTTGGTTCATGTCTGTCATGT